CCCCCGGGTCTGCAGCAGTGCCGGCTTCGGCCCGCGCTCCGCCTTCGCTCAGTCGGGACCCCGCAGTGGGCGAGATGTCTGGGACTGCTCTGCGGGTCGCGGGCCGGCAGCTGAGCCAGCGCGCGGGGTCTGGCGCCCCCATCCTCCTGCGGCAGGTGTCAGGTGGCCGGGCCCGGGAGCGGGGTGACTCTTTGGGCCTGAGGCGGCGGAAGTGGGGGCTTGGAGCCGGGACTCCTGCGTCCTTTAAGGGAGAGGCATCTGGGAGTCCCGAGGGCTAGATTTTTGCGGAAAGGTTGGGGCCAGACTCCTGAGTTGTTGAAAGGAAAGACATTTGAGGGTCCCGATGTCTGGATCTTTGCGGAAGAGGGGACCTTAAGGCTAGACTCCTGCTGGAGACTGAGCTTCGTGAGTATTAGGAAGTGGGGACTCCTTAGTGCCGAGGGAGGAAGGGATCGAGAGCCCAGGCTGCTGGCTGCAGGGGGAATAAGGAGCTAGGGTTTCCACTTTTGGATCTTAATGATTAGAATCTTAGGGGAAGCCTGGCCTCTTGGGTCCCCAGTGGTGGGAGCCTGGTTGTGTGTTCTCACCTGTCCCACACCCCCTTCCCAGCTGTTTGAGTCCAAGAGCTGCACCTATACGTACCTGCTGGGTGACAGAGAGTCCCGAGAGGCCATTCTCATCGACCCGGTTCTGGAGACCGCCCCCCGGGATGCCCAGCTGGTGAAGGAGTTGGGGCTGCGGCTGCTTTACGCCGGTCAGTCCGGGATCCAAGTCTGGGCCCTGAGGGGGGCGGGGCTGCAGTGGAAGTGGAGTTGGGTGGTGGGGGCCTCCAACTCCTGGGACTGACTTAGGAGTGGGGCGGGGAATTCTGGGTTTTCTTTACACTCTCCTGAACCGCCTGCCTCTCTCTCTCGCAGTGAATACCCACTGCCATGCGGACCACATTACCGGCACCGGGCTGCTCCGGTCCCTGCTCCCAGGCTGTCAGTCTGTCATCTCCCGCCTTAGTGGAGCCCAAGCGGATCTTCACATTGACGATGGAGACTCCATTCGCTTTGGCCGCTTTGTGAGTTGGTGGCTGGCCCCTGGGGAAGGCCTGGACTCCTTGGATTAAGGGAAGAGGGGGGTGTGGGGTCTAGGACTCCTGGGTGTGAGGGAGCAGGAGACAGGAAGTGTGGCGCCAGGGTCCTGGGGGCTCGACCCAAGACTCTGGGTTTCTGATCCCTAAGAGGTCCCTGCCCTTGGGTGGAAGGCACCATAAACCCAGGTGGGACACTAGGGCAAGAGGCTCTGGTCAGGTGTGTCTCTGGCTGAGCCTCTTAAGTCAACAGCGTTTATGGCATTTCCTAAGGCCTTGGGGGAGTGCCTTGACCAGGCATCTCCATAAAAGTTGATTGGGGGACTGCAAGGCCAAGGCCAAGGCTGAAGGGGAGTCACTGTGTGAGAAAGGCGCTTTGTTGCCCAGAGCAAGATAACGAGGTGCCTGTGACCCCAAATTTTAAAAGGGTGAGGCAAGTGTAGGGTGGGCTACTGAGAGTGACCAAAAAAAAAAAAAAACAAAAACAAACTCACTGCCATCGAGTCGATTCTGACTGTTAGAGACCCCCCGTTGGGTTTCTGAGGTGGTAAATCTTTATGGAAGTAGATTGCCCCATCTTCCTTCCGCAGAGGGGCTGGTGGGTTTGAATCACCAACCTTCTGGTCAGCAGTCAAATGGCTTTAGGCACTGTGCCACCAGAGCTCCTGAGAGTGAGTGTGTCCTTAAATGTATCCTAGGCCCCATGTTTGCCTCATCTCTGTCCCAGCCCGGCCATTGCTTCACACAGGGGTGATCCGAGGGTGCCTGCCTCCTTCCCCTTCCTGGCCACAGGTGTAAGCAGGTTTCCGGGGAAGGACCAACATGCACTGGGGTGGGAGAGCAGGGTGGAGTGGGCGTTGCCCTCAGGGGTAGAGGAGATAGCTGGCAAGGCCTTTTTCTGATCCGAGCTGCTAAAGATGTAGAGAGGTTGACTAACGGTGATTATGGAAGGTCACATGACTGGCTGAAGCCTGGGGTTTGCTACGTGAGGTCAGTTTATGCGAGTCAGCTCTTAGTGAAAATGAGAGCTGGGTGTGGGGTCCAAGGGGTTAGCTACAGCGGTTACACACTGTTTACTTCAAACCCTTTTCTGGAAACGGGTAAAAAGAAAGAAGCTTCCTGTGGTTAGAGCATTGAGCTTTTAACCAAAAGGTTGTCAGTTTGAACCCACCAGCTGCTGCGTGAGAGAAAGATGAAGCAATCAGCTCCCATAAAGATTTATAGCCTTGGAGACCCTGTGGTGCAGTTCCACTCTGTCCTCTAGGGGCGCTGTGACTCAGCATCGCCTCCACCCCAGTGGGTTTGGTTTGGGCTTTGCTTCTGCAAAAATTGAGTCTTGGAAACCCTTTGGGACAGTTCTACTCTGTCCTCTAGGGGCGCTGTGAGTCGGAATCGACTCCATAGCAGTGGGTTTGGGGGTGGTTTGATAAAAAGAAAAAAATACATTGTACATGAATAAATAAGTATTCCAGTACTAAGAAGCGTTTTTTGGATGGAGAGGAGAAAACAAGCATTTTGGATTGAGAAAGGTTAGGGTAAGAGACAGGGTTGAATGATACTCTCAGTGAATGACTTTTGAAGAAGGGTTTGGCTGTGGTACGTTTAGCATCAGTGTTTGTTTTTGAACAGCTTTATGGAGATATAAGTCACATACATAATGCAGCCATTTAAAGTGCACAATTCAGTGGCTCATAGTGTATTTACAGAATTGTGTGTCCATCGCCATAGCAATATCAGAATATTTTCATCACCCCAAAAGGAATCCCTGCATACCTTAATCTTTACCCCCACTTGTCCCTCATCCTCTCCAGCTCTACCCCAAAAAAACAAACATCCAAACTCACTGCCGTCAAGTCGGATCCAACTCCTAGTGACCCCTCCTTGGGTTTCCGAGGCAGTATCTCTATGGAAGTGGATTGCCCAACCTTCCTTCCGAGGGGTGGCTGGTGGGTTTGAACCGCCAGACTTCTGCCTTCTGTCTCTATAGATTTTCCTGTTCTGCACATTTCATATATATGGAGTCATACAATCTGTGGTCTTCTGTGACTGGCCTGTTTTCAAGGTTCGTTCCTACTGGAGCAGGTATCAGAACTTTTATCTCAGCGTGTGTTAACTAGTACTCCATTGGACGGATCTACCACCTTCTGTTTACCCATTCATCAGTTGATAGCCAAGTGGGTTGTTTCCACTTTTTGGCTGTATGAATAACGCTGCTGGGAACATCTATGCCCAGGCTTTTGTGTGGACGTATGTTTTCATTTCTCTTGGGTCCAGGCCTGGGATAATACGTGCTTTATGTGTAACTGTTTGAGGAGCTGACAGACTGTGACCCGAAGCATCTGGGCCTTTCTTCGTTCTCACCAGCAGCATCTGAAGGTTTCCATCACTCCACATCTTTGCCAGCGCTTATTATTATTTGTCTTTTATGGTTACTCAGTGCTTTGTTTTGATTCTTTGTCTAAGTTATTTAGAAGCATTTGGAGATGGGCCAGTATTTTTCTCATCCTTATTTTCCTCCCCCAACTTTTAAAAAATTGACCTGTAACATGTTGCTGTTGTTAGGTGCTGTCAAGTTGGCTCAGCCTCATAGCAAGCCTACGTACAACAGAATGAAACCCTGCCCGGTCCTGCGTTAGCCTCACAATCCCTGCTATACCTGAGCCCATCACTGCAGCCACTGTGTCAATCCATCTCATTGAGGGCCTTCTCCTTCTTCGTTGACCCTCCACTTTACCAAGCGTGATCTCCTTCTCCAGGGAATGGTCCCTTCTGAAAACATGACCAAAGTAGGTGAGACAAAGTCTGGCCATTCTTGCTTCCAAGGAGCATTCCGGCTGCACTTTTTCCAGGACAGATTAGTTCATTCCTCTGGCAGTCCGTGGGACTTTTAGTATTCTTTGCTAACACCACAACTCAAAAGCATCAACTATGGTTTCTATACCCACTAAAAACTCACTACCATCGAGTTGATTCTGACTCATAGTAACCCCCAGTGCAACGCAACGCAATGCAGCGCACTGCCATCAAGTCGGATCCGACTCATAGTGACCCCTCCTT